ATATATATAAATAGGTACATAGCACCCTTCCCCCTTTTCCACAAAAATAGTACCCTAATCGACTTATTTTTTTGGCATTTTGCTTTTTTCACTTAACCTAACGTCAGTTCTTTTTTTACAGCTATTTTGTATTCCACAGCTTGGATTTATCATAGTTGATAGATATTGATACATAATAAGGTTGTTTCTAATCTTAAAAAAAACACCCAGTTGCCGTCGAGGCAATTCTGAGTCACAGCAACTAGTGTTTTGCTCTTATTGACAGGGCTGCAGTGTCATGTTTTGCACGTATGCATGTTTGTAGGGTAAATTCCTAGAGATGAATTTGCTGAGTCAAAAGGATTGGATGTGTTTGTAATTTTATTGATATTGTGAAATATCTCTATAGAGATACTTCTACCCACAGTATGAGAATGCCTGTTCATCTGTACCTGTGCTGGCACATGTTTCAACAGACTTGGATCTTTTCCAATCAGATGGGCTAGTTTTCAGCTTTCTCCTTTTTATGGAGCATAATCACATGCAGTCTACCTAAGATTCTCTACATTCTAAGTGGTTGTTTTCCATTTTGCATGAGAATATACTAAATTAAAATGTACTGACCTTCTTTAAATGATGCCATTAATTTCTTGGGGACACTTTTTCAAATTTCTTCGTACAGAGCTTTGATTAATAGTTATCTGTATCATTTGTTTCCTATTTCTAAACATATTCCGTCTTTTGTTAACCTATTTTATTTCCATTTACATGGTGAAAGATTTTTTTTATTTAAAAAAAAATTTTTTTTTTTTTTTTGGTGCAACAGTTTTCTGCGTAGTGCCTTGTCATAGAGTTTTGAAAAATTAAGCAGATCACATTTAATGGATCAAGGTTATTACCTTTGCAGTTTCTCCAGTAGCCTGATACATTGTGTAGTTTCGAATCCCACTCTAATCTAGTTCCCTTTATGTGATGTGACAAGGGGGCTGACCATTATGAGGGGTTTGATATGGTCCTGGGACATTGTGAAATTCACGCTTATGAGCCTCACCTCATTGTCATTATTGACTTTTTTAGCCAATGGAGTTTAACTGATGTTACAGATTTATAGAGTGTTCCATAGCAGAGCGAGTCAGTCGTTGTGAGGACATTCTAATGTTACGGTGTAATGTATTTCTTCATTATACCCAGGTTTAAGCAGCAGAGTATATTTGTTGGTCACTGTGGTGGCAAAAAAGAGTGAGGATGCTAGGGATGTTTGTATTTTATGTAGTTAAAGATGAAGGAAGGAGGACTTTCCCTTTAGTGTATCACTGTAAATTTTTAAAGATGATAAGACTTGGGAACTAGATAAGAATTTGCAACATTAATACGATTATTTGAATTCTGTGAATTGTTAGGCATTTTTCCCCAAGGTTGCAAAATTGATTTAACCATGGCTACCTTACTTCATGATAATTGTTCTGGGTAGATTTTGATTTACCAAAAGAGGAAGTGCTTGGCTAGCTTAATGACATTAATGATTGTTATTTACAGTTGAATCAGTCAGGGCTTCAAGTGTTGTGATTCCTTTCCTTTTAGGATCCAGCTACTAGCCCAATATTTTTCAAATGATTTTTGAGGTAGATATCTACTCTAACATACTAACTTTTAGAGATGTGGAAATTAAGACATTTAGTAAGTTTGCATAATGCTAGCCAAAGTAAATTGTGGATATGTTCTAAAAGTAATTTTCTTCTTGAGAAAATATTCTGGAGTACAGATCTTCTTTAGGAAAAAAAAAATCTAGGACCCCAAGAGATGTTCTGGAGAAAGAAGTTTATGTATAAATACAAGCAGTTTTGCATATGTAATTTTCATGATTTTGTCCATTCCTTTGAAGTATCTCTATTCTTCTAACTTCCACATATCCTACAAATGGTTCTTTTGATCTTTTTATACTAGATATATTTTTTTTTTTAAATTCTCAACTTTTTTTTTTTATTTGGTGAAAATACACATAGCCAAAGATACGCCATTTCAAAAATTTTTTTTACATACACATTTAAGTGACATTGAC